GAGTGTGGGTCATTTAATCGTTTGATGACTGTTAATATATAACTATCAATGTGTCTAATTGGTTGATTCCAATTATACAGGTGTACTGGTTTGTGTTTATATTGCTTTTTTATTCTTCTTTTTCCTCTTTTTGATGAATTTGAAGTTGTTTCTGAGTCGGAAAAATATACTTGATCATGAATGGGACAAATTTTATCTATTGATTCTTTTAATTTGTATAGTTCGTCTAAACTGTTGGCTTCTGATTCAGAAAATGCGTTTCTATTTTTTGAAAATCTTTTTCGTGTGATTTGTCTTTGTTTGCTTATAATTTTTCTTTTTATTGTTTGTCGTTTTGTTCGAATGTATCCAACTGTTTGTGTATGTGGAATGATTACATGATCGTATTTTTTGTTATCTATTTCACAATTGTGTAAAACGATTGTTTGTTTATTTCCTAAATTTTGGAATGACATAAGGTTTAGGATGAGGGATGCAAGAAGTTATTAGTGATTTTAATTTCCTAGACTGTTAGTCCTTACGATTTTTTGGTTAGCTTAACCTGGGTCTTTTTGTTCAGGGTTGGAGAGAAAAGTATATTGGTTCCCGAGAATGATTTTTTACTTTCTCGTGGCTAGTCTAAGTTAAGGTGTTAACTTACTTAATCTTACTTAGGGGTACTGATTGTGTTCAATGGTTGGAGAATAGTAAATCGATCCACAAGGTTCAGGTATAATTAGAACGCAAGTAGTTCGTTAGATACTATATTGAACTTACTAAGTCTAAGATCTATCCTGGGTCTGTCAAGAGGAGGGTTCAAGTGAAGGATGAATAACCGAAGTTCTTCGCTGTTTAACTTAATTTGAATGGTTAGTTTTATTTAAAAATTTCTATTAGTCCTGGGTCTTTTGGAAAGGTTGGATAGTGAATCGACGTTTGAGGTCGTTAGACACTTGCTAAGTGGGTGGGGGAGAACAAAATTGTTCTTTTTGATCCAAGGATAGGCCTTGATGATCAGATTTTAAATTTGGGAGATAGAAAATTTATAAAGATCCAAGGAGAAGCCTTGATGATCTGATTTTTAAAATAAAGTGAATATAAATTTAAAATGGTTTAAATTTATTTAATAAAAAGAGTTAGTTTTTTAATGATGTTAATGAGCTTATGATTGCTGTTATGTTTAGGTGATGAAGCTGGAACAACAAGATGATTTATATATACTAACAATTTATTGTCATGCTACTAATTTTTATTTTTATTTTCAATAAATATTTTTCAAATATGTTTTAAATAATACTGCAGAAATTAGGAAAACGATCTGAGATCTTTTTATCAATCGTTATTGTACATTAATAATTTTGTTTAGCGCCTGAAATGATCATGAAGATTTACTTCAAAATTTTATGTTTGCAAATGAAAATCTAAATTCATTGCTAGTAAGATTCTAAATATAAAAGTTTGTGTTGGCTTTTGCCTTACAACCATGAAACTAATTGGTAAGTTTCTATGTAGTCGTATATCATCTCTTGTCCGAGGTCTTTTTCCAATACCAGCTAGTTCTAGTATTGTGCGGAATATCGGCTCTGATCTATTGAGTCGTAGAGACATTTCAATTAAGTTATTATCGTGTAACATTTTGAAAATGTTTTGTCTAATTTCTAATCTATTTTTGGTTAATTCTAAGCTATTAAGGTCTTATTCGAGACTTATGGTCGCACCAGATGAGTTAGAACCGACGTGGTTAACTCATAGAGTAATTTCGGATAGGGTACACCATCTGCTCGTCACGCTATCTTATTTTCGGCCGGATAGATTCGTGCAACTTCTTAGTCTAATACCGATCCTAATCTTACTCTTATATCTACTAGTCTCAGGGTGTTTAACTAGTCTCTGCTAGGCTCAATAGGTCTAAAGTATACTGGTTTATTGCGGCAGCTGAAGTTCTCTTGGAGAGGCAACTAATTTCTAAGTTAAATTCAAATCTCTCTGGTGCTAAAATTACAAGTAATTTCAGCACTTATAAATAAGTGGTTTGTTAGTTAGATGGATTATGATTGGTTAATATTAAATATTTTACAGTGGTAAAATATCTAATTTATCCAATAATAAAATGTAGTTTAGATCAGGTTCCAACAGGTATTGGATAAGAGAGGCGAGGAGTTATACCCACCCATAGAGTGACGTACAGAGGTAACCCACCCCCACATATAAAAGAAGAGAAGGAAGACAAACCCCGAGTGCGGCACCCTTCTACCACTTACCCCTCTGTCCTTTTCTTTTGGTGGTTCCGACGCCAGACTCTAGACAATAACCCCAACAGCTTCAGATAAAATGGAAGAAAGAAAAAAATGTCAACTTTGCTACATCAACTTTGTTTTTTTTATAGCAGACAGGGCTCTTGAGACTCAGGTAGCAAACCATTTGTATATATTTTATGCGCTGAAATTCCTGCCTAGTTTTGCGCGCAGTCATTAGTTCACGTTGTATTTTTGAGTGCAATTGATTGTGCAAAATGGAAAAAATTTTAAACCTCCTGCTTCGCTTATCGAGTATATATTTTTTCTAATTCTGATTACAATTTTTCCAGCTGACTAGTTTTGCCTTGGTATAAAACAGAACCCCCTCTTGTAACTTTGTGCTTGTATTTTTGCCCTAATAAATGGAAAATGTTTAATTTTACTCTTTTTGCTACCTTAAAAACGGTCAATCCACTGTTTATAGTAATTTTGAACATCAGTTTGGTGGAATCATTTTTAGGATTTGAGCGCAAAACTTTTTGTGCAAATGCCCTATGATTTCGAATGTCTAATTTTTTCTGCTAAATTTTTGTGCCTATTCTCCTCTGCTGGATCCTTTGGGCATAATTTAAACTCTCTTTCAGCCAGTATGTTCAAAACCAACTTTTTTGGCAAAATAAAAGAATTCCATATTCAAGATCCCATACACAGTTTTCAATTCAACCGCATCCGATAAAACAACGCTAAAGAGTTTTTCCCACGAGTCCTTGATGGTTTCCGGAGCTAGCTCTCTACATCACCCTCTTCAGACTCTTCAACGGAGACAACAATATGAAATGAAAAAGCGAGTGATTACAATTCCCAAGATCAACAAAAAACACAGTCCTGTTTCTTCGCAGACATACTATGATTAACACAGCTGGAATATCTATTTGGCACGATGTCATCAATAACTCCCTAAAAACATCGCAGCAAAAGTTTCACTGAAACACTAAGGCTAAAGTTCTGGAAACGTTAATTTTCTTTAAAAACAAACCAAAGGAGTAGTGTAATTCAACAGAGACAATGCACTTAATATTTCCAGTGTTTCTTAAAGCCACAAACTTGAAAAAAAAAGAAGTTGTGCGTGCTTTCAAAGAGCTGCTCTCAAAAAGAAAGAAAAAAACATTGATTTTATTTAGCAGTATCATGCTCTTCATCGAATTTCAGCTCCAGAACTCAAAACACTTAGAAGAGTCTTCGTTCACCTTAACTTGATGATCTCAGCAGAACATGTTTTAAAAAAAATTTCAATAAGTTTTCCAAGAAATAAAGAAACAAACGGAAAAAGGCGGAAGTTTTTTGAAATATATTTTTTTCGTTTCTGATTTTGCCAAAGATTCAGATTTGACTTTTTAATGACCTGTTTGAGTACTAGAGCGCCCAATAGTCTAAGTTGCTCTTTGAAACACCAAGCATTGATCACTTTTCTTCCTCCTTGCCTTTCAATTACCTTTCACAGCCTTCGTAGGATTTCTATCACCCTTCAATAACCCATCCGAGGTTCATCAACCACCCGCCATCTAGTTTTTCATGTCAGCTGAAATTACATCAGTTAACTGTTGTTCTCCCATTCTACGAGAAAAATTGAACAAAATTGGTGGTAAAACCAGCCCATCACTACCAAATTCACTAACTTCAACTTCAGAAAAAAACCTGTTCACAGTTATAGACGACAGTTTTGGCCAAAAAATGATAATTCTGAACCTGAAGTTGTAGCTCAAAGACTACAAAGAACTCACCAAACTCGCCAATCACTTTGAGAAACTGATCAATGTAATGACTCACTTAGATAGCACACATGTCAGTGGACGAATAAAAGAAGTAGAACTTCTATTACAGTTGAAACTAGACATCATGAAAAACGTTCAATGACAGAATATTCTGAAAAACTTACGTTAAACAGTAGTAACTCAACCAATAGCATTGGACCAAAAGCTTCAAAAACTGCTCACAATTTAGTTTTGAACACTCAGTCGTCATCCATTCAACCGTTCGAGTCTATGCTCGTCCGACCAATCAGGAACTCACATGCATCAACGCACAATTGCGCGTCTCCGCCAAGTTCCCGTTTGCAAATTACAGCATCACTGATCCTAGTTTCGTTGACTAAAAATCACCAAACAATAGACCCCATATCATTATGCTATAAGGCACAACTACAAACGTCCGGCGTCCATGACAGTCCTCAAGAGCCGCCCAATATTTTTTAATGGAACAGTGCAAGTGTATCTCAATCAGTTGCTCGTTGCTCCAGAACATGATTAAAAAAGTGTCAAATGCAGACACTAATGGAAACTTATTAATAGCTCAGCAGGTGTTCAAACGAATAGTTTTACTTCGCCACCTTTCTGCTCACCAACTGTAAATGAATTTTACTTATAGACAACATTGCCTTTTTAGCAACCTTCAGCAGTTTGACTTATTGAACAATTACAGTGCAAATCAAATGCTTTCAACTAGTGTCAATGGGAACATTCAGTAAAAAAACCCAATATAATCAGCAACCTTATCATGAAATCAAATTACTTTTTGACATCATCGATTGATTAAACTGTCAGATAACCTGACGAAGTAACATTAAATTTTGTTCACATGACCAACAAGATCATTTTTTGAGTCAGTCCAAATTTTAGAAAATTTAGCAAATCAAAGATTAGAAAAAGTAAAAACAAAAAACAATAATTGCAACAAAGGTCTCAATGGAAACCATTACTCAAGAGAATACAAATCAAAAAAACTTACCGCCCTTGCAATCCCAAACATCCTTCATTGTTTCTTCCTCACAGCTTCAATGAGAGCAAGCAACTAACGCCTTGATCAACGATACCCTACTCTGAGAATCCCTGAAAATTGCTTTCATTGATACAACCCCTAGAAGATGTGCACCCTCGTTCATTTCAAAAATACAAATCAACTGCTTTTGGTTACAATCATACTTTTCGGTTCCGATTATTCCTGCTCATTTTATGCGTTTTAGACAACTGCAGTACCATATAAATTACAATACACACAGAAACAGTGAAAATTAACGCCCTGAAAAATGAACAATCCAATTTTTGCAACAGGTCAACAATGATCGCAAATCTAATCCGTTTGGACATAGGGCACTACAAAAGCACAAAACCGTGTTTCGTTTGAAGTAAGTTTACTCTTTAAAAAACGTGCATGTCAATGGCGCTTCTTTTACAGACTTTAACCAAGTCTAAGCAATGTAACCTCACCTACAGCATGTTGATTTCGTACAATTAACAAGCAACTGAATTCAAGTTTTTCTGAGCGTTAACACAATGCAGTACCTCATTGAGCCAGAGAATCAACTTTTTGCAACAAAAAGTCTCCCGATTAATACTCCCGATTACAGTTTTACACGGACAGTCAGCATGCAACGACAAAGAGTTACGAAGAAAAGTGATTTTCGTTCGCATAGCTGCAACGCAATTGACATAATCATTCGATAAATTACCTTAACAAACCTGAATCACGAACCAAATGAACTCTTGCAGATTTGTTACAAGTTTTTAGTTACAGGCCTACAACGTTTTAGCATGAAAACAGACGGCATACATGTGATCATTACGAAAATTTTCCATTATGGTATGATAAAGTGAATTTAACCAACAAAGTCAACTGGGTTTAATCAAAACTTCTGAGCCTCTAAAAAGGGCTGGAAAAATTCAAATCTCTCAGATAGGACCAAAAAACTTCTTGAAACAGATATTGAGAAAAACCTGTATAAAAGCATAATTTTCAACAACCCGCCACAAAAACAATTATGGTAGTTTTCGCTTTCTTTCCGTCCGAATAACAAACAAAATCGGGAAAAAGTCGAAGAGTGCCCAATGAGGCAGCAACTTTCGGAGAAAACTCACTTGGCAACTTTCTGTAAAAGGACCTGATCTTATCAACAGTTTAATCGTTTTGCATCTTCGGTTTTGCAATGAACCTATCGCTGTAACAGCAGACATAGAAACTATATTCAATCATTTTGCGATCATGGAAAAAACACATTCCGCTCTTTGTTTTCTGTGGCCAACAACGCCCGAAAAAAAACGATCCAACAATCGAGATATTTCAATTTGAAATGTGCTTTTTACCCAAGTTATCAGTTACACGTTTTCATTGATAAACGGCCTATGTTGCAGTGGTTTACACTCTTCTTTGTGAGGAAAAAAAGCTCGTGCTCCTTTCTTATTTTCCATGTCAAGGTTGCGCTGATAAAACAGCTAAGTATACCCGAATTCGACTTACAACTAGTCGTACTTTGAGCTCATTCAGTTAAGTTTGTCGTTGGCCAACACTCAGGTAGACGTCAGCCAACACTCAAAACATCAAAGAAATTTATTTTTGGTGTGCTAGAACTGCTGTACTCGGCTGGACTAAAACTTCTGAGAATTGAAAAATTATGTAGCTCAACCTGTGCCTGAAAACCAAATGAATTTTATTCCAAGAAAATAGAAATTAAATAGGTTAAACAAACTCAACCCGGCCGACCATATAAAACACTATCTTCAACCTCAAGATATGAAAAACTATGTCGTTGAAATAACCAGACATATGTAAACACAACGAAAAACTTTGCACTAAAAATACATCAAGCGATTCGATGAGTTCAATGGAGAAGGCAACTACTTTAAAATCAAACATCGATGTTTTACAATGTTCTTAAAAGGACGAAACTTTTGCGCGCAGCTGCAAAAGTTTTTAGATCCAAAAATTTTGCTTCTTCTGAAGTGGCCGCGGTTTCCTTCTCAAAGACCTCAATAAAGCACGTGATTATTCCTTTAAAGCGTCACAGCAAAATTATTATGGAAATGATATTGCAGGCATAGCAAACGACCGACCCCTACCCACAAAAAACAAACTGTTGCAATTATTTTTATTTGTTCACAACAATACAAATAAAAGTTTGGTGTTGATGGAAGAATTAAACGAGTTTCAAAAAATTTTAATACGAAGCAACCATACCTTTCAGTGCCAATCATTTCATAACACAATTGTTTTTATTCAGTTGCCCCAAACTTTGTTGTTTTTTGGGGCAGAGCTCATCAAAAACTTTATACAGCAGGCATTCTACGTTTGTGACCTTCGAGGCGCTCTACAAAGCATTGCTTTCAGATACTTCGATTTTGGACCATTTGCAGATAGATTCCCTCAACTTCCAATGGCAGACTTGCCTGATATCAGGTTCACGTAGCGAAGTTTTCCGGACCCGTTTATTTTCGAGCTGAAAACGGAAGAACATTCGTACATCTGCATCTTAAACTGCCTCGAAGCAATGGCAATTTGTCTAGAATAATCCGAGTTTTTGACTACAACAACACGCATTTCGGCAAACTGGTTCTAAAGAAGGGTTCTTATATTCTTGGCGCCAGACAACAGCTACGAAATAATTCGCTCAATCTGACCAATAATTTTTGTAACAAAACATAATTAATCCTTCCGCTTCTCATTTTGGCGGTTCTTGGCAGATACTCAACCAGACTTTCGTTCAGCAAAATTAAAAACTAAGTTTCTCGGCTTCACAAACTCAAGCCCACTAACCCATATACAAAGCAAAATTAAATATGAAGATCCAATAACCCTAACTCAATTAAAACTATTCGGGAGGCCTTTTGTAACTTTGCCAGTGCTACATTTTTACATGTTTTAACGAAAATGCTACATTTTAGTCTTCAGCCTGATTGCAAATAAAACTGAGATTACAAAACTTCTGGAAATCCGAACATCAACGTGGAATCAACAAGATTTTTTTAAAATTCTTGTCGATATTATCCGGCTACTTGAAGAATGGTCCGACCCTATGTGGAATCGGGACGCTTGGCCGTGCTATTCACCGTTCACAATAATTTAGCAAGACCATGTGAAGTGAAAACCGCTTAAGTGAGTTTAACTTGACCCGTTGTTAGGCTGACACGTGTGTTTCTCAAAACCATTTATGGTTAGGGTGGTCGCGAGGGTGTTCATGGGTGATCAATTTGACTCAGAACTCCTCTCGCATTTGTGTTGAAAAAATGTGTTGTCGATTTATCCCTCACTTAGCGTAATCATTTGTGGAAAAAAGTTGACTTGAATTAAAGAATACACAAAAATCTAAACAAGGACTACGGAACCAAGGTAGCCCCTCAGTTCCCAGTAGAAACAGGTATTGGACAAGAGAGGCACTGAGTTAATCACCGCCCCCATTCCCTAAAGTGAGTCACAGTGGTAGCCCCACCCCCCACTTACAAAAAAGGCAAGGAACACCACCCAAAAGCGCGATACCTAACTACCCCTCACCCCATTTGGCCTTGTCATCATGTTTCAGCGGGTTCAATTCAGTGAATCTGAAAAGTCTCTTAAACGGGATAAAAATGACTTTTGTCCAGTCTCTACTCTGCATTTAGAAGGTTTTTTTGTTTCATAAAGATAAAAAGTTTATGTACTGCTGAAACAGTTCCTGCTTTAGGCTTTGGATTCAAATCGATTTTTGCTAGGGTTTTCCATTGGAGCCAAATTTAATTTTGGTGTACCTTCTATGCAAATATACCTTTTTTCTAACAAAAAGTAGGGCACTTATTCATCGATTGTGTTGCACATGATGAAAATTATTTTTGCGGAGTCCCTGATTGTTACACTACTATCAAAACCAGGTGTGTGAATAAAAAAATCGAATGAAATTAGTACAAATACGAAGTCAAAAAAGCTTAATTGGTAGAGTATTATTTTTGTGATATTAGATGAGGATCTAAGAAATTTAAAAAAAAAATTATTTTGCGCATAAGGAATCTGAGAACCATTTTGCAGTCTTATCTTAACTTTTTAAAACTCTAATGTTTTTTTAAACGCCCAGAGCTTTTAGCGAGTGTTTAATAAAGGATAATACTATTCCCTGTATACCCTGTATACCCTTTCAATTGGTGCAAAACCTCAGTAGAAAACTCAAAAATTGATGAAACTCTAGGTGTTTTTCAAGTTAGTTACAAAAATTAGCCGCGTAATGATACCCGCATCTACTTTCGTGCGTTAATAATCGATTATATTATGACTTTACTACAAGTCTTACTGAAATTGTGAAAAAACTGCTTCTTATCAACAAATAACTTTCTCTTTTTTTGAAATCAATTTAATAAAAATTCTCGTTCATTTTAATTGACTATAATCGATTAGTAATCCATTTATTTTTTGATACCACTATAATCTACTATAATTGATAAGAAATGATTATTTTTATCCCAATCTCCAATTCATGTGTTTTCAGCAGAAAACTCATTATAATCGTTAATAATACTTTTTGTTTGCCTAATTTAACTGCGGCTTTGCATCTGAATTGATTGTTTGTATTTTATACTTTTTGTATACGTGTGAAAAATGAGAAAATTGTTTTTGCGAAGATTTCAATTCAATTCAAGCTTATTAAGTTTTTTTTCTTTCAATTCTTCTCCATTAAGATTGTTTCATGATAGACATTTTAATTGTTTTAACCATCAAATTATCAGAACTTTGCTTCAATTTCATGATTTATTTGGAAGATTTTTTCGCCTACCACGGGAACCTTACAACTAATATGAAAGTTTTTCTATGAAACCTTTGCTTCGTGTTAAAACTTTGTGTTCAGATAAACCAAAGTGTGACAATACATCTCATTTTCAGAAATTTAGTAATTGACAGAAAAATAATAACCCATAAGATATAATTAAAATATTTTGTCATGTGTGAAACTTTTTGGAAAAATAAGAGATTATAATCGATTAAAGAAGATCATAATTGGTTTAGAGAGTTTTTTGTAAAAACAATTATCAATCAAAATAGATTAAAAGAAATTGTAAGCTATCACAATTATAATCGATTTTAAATTCTGTTAACACCT